TTTTTTTTTTTTTTAATGCAGACACCAGAAGCCCATGCGAATGCTTGGAGAACTTTAAGGGTACTGTATCCAACCTCTCCAGTCTGCCTTTTCTAGCTCGATTTTGCTTTGCACTTCTCTTTTCTTAAATATTGTTTACTGATTGTGCTGATAGACAGATTTTTAACAATATTGCTTTGCACAATACTTCTGCCTGTAATATAGTTTGTAATCTTTCTCCCCCATGTGCTTTCTAGTGCTAAGACTATATGAAACATTGCTCACTTGCAACTTTGAGGAGCACAATAACCGTAAAACTTTTGAATGACAAGGCAGTCTATTTTTTTCAGAATGCTGCGTGTATCTTGGTTCCTGGTGGGTTTGGAGACAGGGGTGTGAAAGGAATGATATTGGCTGCAAAATACGCTCGAGAGAACAGAGTACCGTATCTTGGCATCTGCTTGGGCATGCAGATATCCGTAATTGAGATTGCCAGAAATGTAACATATCTCCTTAAACCATAGATATGCATTTTTCAATGACTATATGGTGAATTGTGTGCGGTACATGGTTACAGGTATTGAACTTGCAAAGAGCCAACAGCAGTGAGTTTGATGACGAGACTCCGGACCCTGTTGTGATTTTCATGCCAGAGGTAGTTTCTCCATTCCCATTTTATCTATTGTCTTCTCAAGTTATTTGGACAATTACATTCTTGTTCATGTCTTCAGGGTTCAAAAACACATATGGGAAGCACAATGAGACTTGGGAGTCGCAGAACATTACTCCAGACTCCAGATTGCTTGACAGCAAAGCTGTAAGAGCTGAGACATTTTTACGTCATCATCCTTTTATTGTGAATATATATGTTAAAATATGATGTTAAATTGGGAGCTCTTTTTTCCTTTCAGATTTACTTCCATTTTCTGTTTTGTTAGTTTTATCAGCAGGAATGATTTCCTCAATTAATCCAATTAGCAGTGTTTGATACCAGTAGTTCTTCATGAGTATTGGATATCATGACGGCATTTTGTTTCATGAATAGGTACCACAACTCAGAGTACGTTGATGAACGGCATAGGCACAGATACGAGGTTAATTGATCATAAACGACTGGATTGAGTTATCTGCCTTTTTCAGTACTTACAAACTCACCATATTTCAAATCATATGCTGCAGGTGAACCCAGACATGGTTAGCATTTTGGAAAAATCTGGGCTAAAATTTGTTGGTAAAGATGAAAGTGGAAAACGAATGGAGGTCATCTTCTTGAACATTCTCTTACAAATTTTTATGGCCCTTAATTATGTTGTTAGTTTCTAATATTAATTTTCCTCTAATCTCTGAAGATTCTGGAGCTCAAGGATCATCCTTTCTACGTGGGTGTTCAGTTTCATCCCGAATTCAAATCACGCCCTGGGAAGCCTTCTCCTCCATTCTTAGGTAAATTACTAGTCCCAAAGTTCTAGAATGTCGTAAAATGAATATATATATATTAAAAAAATCTGCTGTGTCTTAGCTTCACATTTGAAATGTGATGCTCAAATTGCATAGTGCTTGCTTGAATGAATGCCTGATATTCATTCCTCTTCAATTGAATTTCAATTGTGTAGGTTTTATTTTGGCGGCAATTGGGCAGTTAGAACCGTATCTTAAAAATCCTCAGAACGGAAGCTTGTA